TCTGGAAAATAAAGACCATCTCATCTTCTCCCATAGAAATGAATGGTAGTGAATGTGTGTAAAACCTTTCCTACAGGATAATGCTCAAGACTTGTATGCTTTTCACAATTGTTTTGATTAGCCCCGTACTTTCCTTAGCCCTGGGGGGTGTTTCACAAAGATCCTAAGTTGAACTTATCTCTAAGTTGGACTTAACAATTATGGAAAGCCATTAGCATCCTAGAAAATATTTTGTAAAGTTTATATTAAAAGTCATAAAATGTTGATTCAAATCATTCATATTTTCTATTATCCTGGGAGATTTCATGTTCTTGATGTGGAATTTATGAAAAGTTTATAATACTTGAATTTTCAATTTTGAATATATTTTCATACATGCCAACATTTGAAAATCCGAAATCTGTACAAATTATGCTATTTTCAAAAAAAAAGAGGAACAATCCTAACTCTCCTATTCAATACTACAGACAAATTTGTACAGGAAGAGGAACACCTGCATTAAAATGATAATTATCTTCTCCCAAAAAGAGGAATGTTCCTCTTTAATCTGAACAGTTGGCATGTATGTATTTTATTTAAGGCTACAAACGGCTTTCCATAATTTTTAAGTCCAACTTAGGATCTTTGTGAAACACCCCCAGGACTAACTTTTTCGGCTAATTACACACGCTCATTTAGTCCTATACTATGCCCCTATCCCCGGTAAAGAACATGCATTCACGTTAACACCGTAATATTTGCAGGGCCAACTAACCCCGTACTTGAGGTGGGGCTAGCCCACTTTGGTAAATTTGTGTCTGAACAGAAAGTGGGCTTAGCTTAGCCCAGGACTAGCGGTGGGGCCAAGACCCCCTTTAGCCTCACTATAGTCCGGGGCTAAGTAAAACTTTACCAGCGTGAAAAGCATATTCGTCTCGGTTTTTGAACGAATCAAGGGATCAATAAATTGTCATTTACCATACTACAAAATTACTTTCATCCTTAAAAAAAAAAAAAGTTCTTCACATAATTCATTCTTTAAAGTCATATGCATGCCATTATTTTACATTACCGGTATTCATAATTTAAAATAATCTTTCTCGAGGCTCAGTACACAAAATGTTGTTTTCCAATCACGGGAAATTGTCATATTAACTGGAAAATGCACCTCTCTCGTTAGCATATACATTTTAATATTTACACGTGTAAAATCATATAAAACTCCATCACAGATAGATTTAACCCTTATAATGATCTAGCTTTCATCCCACAATATAGAAAGGCAATCTCTGATTATATACACCATAATTATATATCTGTAAAATAGTAATAAATTCTAGTCATCATATTCCTTTAAAAAAATAGTGCCATAAGAATGAACTTTTAAATTCTTAATTATTAAAATTGGCAAGTTTCATGAACTCTCTACCCTAAAAAAAAGGCAGCATATCATGTTAGTAAAATAAAGATTAATTCTAGTCATATTCATTATAAAAAAAGTGCCATAAGAACAATTTTTTCTTTTAAATCATTGAAATTGGCAAGTTTCATGAACTCTCTACAAAAAAAAATATTTCAATTTTTGTTTCTGCATTGGGACATTTCGGTAAATTTGGCAGTTGTTTGTGTTGATTTTTATAAAAAATACAATAGAAACATTCCTATCATATTGCATGCACGTGTACCTGTGTACAATGCACTTGATAATACATTTGAAGGGGAATCCAATCTTAATAGTTACATGTACATGTATTGACTAATAAAATATATGTATCTTTCCACTAAACTATGAATGTGTATAATAAGGACTTGTTTTTTTTCTTCTTTTCAATCCATCATTTGAATCTCCACAAGGCTACAAAATCCAATTTTTTTTTCCTTCATCAATCACTTATAAGGCTAAATATGTCAAATTGTCCCTTTTCAAAAAGCTTTTACAACTATAGGCGTCTATATAATACAGGTTTTTTCATGAGTTGTTATCTCAACATTTCAAATATTCATTCTCAAGAGTTATGCTTTTATCAAGGCAAAAGCGTTGAAAACAAGGCTGCTATATAGTTATGAATAAAAGGTCTAAAGAAAGAACTACAGTGAACACAGCTATGCCAATAATAAATGCTCATATTGCTTACGTGGCAACATTGCTTAGATGAGAGAAAATGGTGCTAAGTAGCGACTTAAATGCTAGATATACAATTAAATGAAAGTTCGAGTGAAAACGGACCATTATTAATGATCAAAATTGGAAAAAACTGGTCTGATCGATTCCTTAATTTCCCCCAACTATATTATTACAATTAAATTGAAGTTTAGGTGAATGTATATCGTTACAAAGCAATGCATTGGCTCTATATACCATTCCAAACATGTAAGAGTTTAAATATTTTTATGTCTAATTTTCATGAAAAAACGGTTGGGAAAATTCAAAAATTGGTTAGAAGAATTCAACGGTAGAGGGAGTTACACATAACGCCTTCAAGGAAAACCATAAATACCCATTTGGTTAGAGAATATTTAAAAGATTTGTTGCCTGTTAGCGGGTAAGCACAGTAGAAGGAATATAATGAGTAACATTTCATACACAAATTAGGCAGTTTTTTTTTCATCAACCTTCAACAATGTTACCGGGTCACTTTAAGAAAGATCTACAGTGAACACAACTACCGGTATGCCAATAAAAAATGATATTTTTGCTTACATAACAAACAAGTAGTCATTTTACAACTACAAACATTCAAACACATGTAAATGGCCTTTTCCCACATGTGAACAGTACTATACTTGACATGTAACATACATTGAAATGAACAAAATTACAGAAATTTTTCACCAACACATGATAAGAGGAATCAAATGTACATGTGAGATTGTATCAAGCAATATTTACAAACAAAGCCGGATAAACCCATCGTTAAAATCATCTCACTAAATCGAGATGCAAAGAAGATGGAATAAAAATAATTTTAACGAGGACAACTACTATACTCATGTAGCAGCATACAAACATGATTCCCTAATATTAACTACAATGGAATGATTTATATAGACTTTATACATGTACACAGCACTGTTTACTACAATTTACACGATTTTAAACAATGTTCTATTTTGCATAATTAACAGTGTTATATTCACACCACAGTGAAGGTTGGTTTTCTTCAAGAAGCTTCATCCACGAGCCTCTTTGTTTGCTTAGGTATCCACTACAAAATTGATGGCTTTCTTGAAAGAAATGCAGATGGAAGATTGTTTGAAAGGTTGAATTCAACCTAAATACCACTGTCCTGCAAAGCCATTTCACATACCGGTACATATTTTTAAAATATTTTTACTAATGATTTAATTGGAATTTAAAAAATTGCTGTTTCAATTCAATGAAAGCAGAAAAATCAGAGAAATAAAATGGTGACATTTTGAAAAAAATCTGAGTAAAGTTATAAGTATTTGAAATATGAGATCACAACAGATATGCAATTCTCAAATTAGCAATTTGGTCACTGGACTGTGACGTGATTCCCAGACAAGTACCTTCTCCCTTAGGGCACATCTAAAATAGATGTCATGGGTACCATACATTATTAAAGGTTCTCTGACAAAACAACAGACCATTGAGAGACATACATTGTGACAATTTGCCATTTTAGTGTGTTGAAACAATTGGGAAAGTTGCAGTGACACCACAGATTCAGCCAGTGCATATACACTGTATATATAGTCAATACAACTTTTTTTAAATTCTTTTATCATTTTTCAATTTTTTTTTTGTCCAATTTGTTCAAACTTTCCCCAATCTGCTTCTCTGATTTTCTGCATTCTTTTAGAGTAGTTTACTATTAAAGATAAAGATGAGTTCTGGTTTAACGATTGCTGTGTGAAAGAAACGGTGTGGAATCAATCACAAATAGTTGATCATTTAGGTATTGGTGTGTACTGCAAGGTTATGGAGTCATCAAAATGATAAGAAATTTGGCCCAGTCTTGGTATTAAAAGTAACCAGCACTGTACGCAGAAAGTTGTATATGGGAAACATATAACATGTGGCATGAAAATCGGGCCTAATTTTTAAGCTGTAATTTGTCATATTTAGAATATGGAGTCATTTGAAGAGCCATGCTTTTCAGGGAACACTTTGTCTTTGATGTTCTTCCACACTTGCATAATAATAACGATGATAATGCTCACAAATTATGTGTTACCTCTCCGAAGAATTCAACCTTCTCTTACAGGTTGGATTTCCCTTTAACCCTATTTAGCCCGGGGGGGGGGGGGCTTGAGAAGCCCCCCCCCTCGACATTTTTCGCGATAATTTTTTAACGCAAGAAAATCTTGCACTGAAATTTTGTGACTTTTTTCTTTCGAGTCTTGCGCATCTTTTGAAAGAAATTTTTCGAAAATCGGACCTACCATTACGAAGTCACGTGTCCTTTTGTCTTTGCATGTCAGCCCGAAAATCGCTCATTTTTGTGATTTGTGTACAAAACATATGTAAATCTCATTTTTCAAATAAAGAGATAAAACATTGGTTATTTGGTCTTGTTTATAGTTTAGGTGTTTATTTTTGGGTCAAAATAGTTGAATTATAGTTGGAAATGAAATAAAACAACAAAAACAATAAAATACATAACTTAAAAAAAACAAAGAAATACATAAGAAATTATCAAAACAATAGATAACATAAGGAATAACCCTGGTTTTTCAATTTTTTGTGTTGTATTATTATTCCAAATGGTCTAACAAATATATGTAGTGAGAAAGAATGCTTAAATATGAATAATGTCTGATTTATGGGCAAAAATGTGAATTTTATGACCTTATTTGCATAAATTACCATAAATATGCAAATGAGTGAATTTTTCAAAAAATTGAAATTACCGTAGTATTCTATACACTTCACTTGACATGTATGCAAATTTTCGCGGCGATCAGGCGTTTCACGGCCGAGATCATAGGGGGGGGGCCTGAGAAGCCCCCCCTGGGCTATGCAGTTTCAAAATAGCCCGGGCTAAATAGGGTTAAGACATGAAAAAATGGACATTAACTCATTGCCTATTAGAATAGGGTGGTCCCAGTACTGAGCCTTGGGGAATGACAAAATATAGTTGATAACAAGGGGGCGTATCACAAAGCCTTTTTTCAATGACAAACGACAAATTCAGTGACAAATCTGCTGATAACCAATCAGAAGCAAGGATTTCAGTAGCTTATGACAAAAACTGTCATGTGTCACTGATGACAAGTTTTGTGAAATGCCCCCCTGGTCAAGCTCTGATCTGGTTTGAATAATAGTTCCTTGTTTGTTTGTTTAACCTTCCTCCGGATACTTTCATTTCTTTTTCCCAAAAAATCCTTTCTTCTCTGAGTTGTTGCGCTTGGCGTGAGTTTGCGGAGAGTGGTACTCTCGAACAATGACAGCCTCGGTCCGTGTCCCCCGGGATGGCGCAGAGGAATGCATGCCCCCACGAGGATGCTTGCTACTCAGAAGGTCCAGGATGTAGTTCCGCTCAGCCGCGTTGCCATTGAGCAGAGCATCAGGTAACAGACGAATCACGCTGACATCGTACACTGGGATGAATCGATGATTGACTCTGCTGTTGGATTGGTATTCCATCTGCATCTCCTGAAAGAGTATCCTAAAAGACACCAAAAAAAGGAATAAAGTTTACATTGCATAAAAGCATCAAGAGGTTTGGAGTAATTACAATACAGACAGCAAGAAAATATTCTCTCTCTCTCGTGCTCTGCTGTACAGAAAGTTTTCATAACAATAATAATAATATGGACACTCATCGGATTTAAATAGGACAATTATCAGAGGTTAAGGGGGCACTTAATAAAGATTTAAAAGGGAACTTATGAAAATGAAGAATGGACCCTTATTGCAAAGGAAAATGGGAACTTGTCGAAGGAAAAGGGGCACATGGCAAAATAAAAGGGGCACTTATCAGAGGTAAAAAGGGGAAGGGGCACCTTTTCAAAGTAAAAGGGGCACTTCTTACACAGTTAAAGGGGTACTTTTGGGGTACCTGAAAAGGGGGGCACTGCCCCCCCCCCCCCCCCCCCCCCCCCCCCCGGAAGGGTCGACTCCTAGGCTAAGAACGAATTTCCGCCTCTGCCTACAAGAATGAGAGGATTCAAAAGGAGTGCTTACTGGTTTCTAGTTCCATTTGTTTGAAAATCCTTCTTGTACTTCTCGGTGTAAATCACCAACACATAATTAACCTGAAAGAATAAAAGATAAACAATTAAATACACTCACAGTAGCAGGCAGACGGTAACCTTTCATTTGCCTCAAATGCCAAAGGACACAGTTGCTTGTTTGTCACTTGTGCAGATTAGCACAAAACAATAGTCACCAAGTGACAGAAGATTCATTTTGTGCAAAACTAAAGCTTTCAAATTAACAGTTTTCCATCTCGAATTAACTATGTGGCAACCCTTTTAAGATTAATAGTTTTAAACTTATAAAACATGCAAATAACCTAAAATCCAAGGATATTTAACTTTCCTATGAGAATTATAATCAAGGTGGATTAAAAATGTTAAATCTTCCTTCAGTTTTCAAAGTATTGAAAATTGCATGGGTAAAACGATTGATTGATGTAGAAAATACAGGTAAATGGAAATGCTTTTTAAAATACTATTTGAAACATATCGGGGGGGGGGGGAGATCTGTTATGGTTAAGCAATTTCAAGTTTAATGACCCCAAATGATATCAAGTCAGATTAGTATTTGAGTAAGATGGGCACTTACTCAAATACTAATCACCGAGTACAAGCCTCTTTGGATCTGAACAGACGACTTGATATCTCTCCTCTTTCAAATGTGACAAAGAGGCTCAGTGTAAACTCACCTGATAAAAGAGCCTACGATAGCTCCCGGGATGCACATCATGAAGCCAGGATGCTTGATGTCCCTTCTTATTCAGAATTTTACACAACTTCTTGGACCACTGTCTGTCTTGTTCATTATCAGATGAAACCACTAAATACTGCTTTCCTGTTAATACAAATACAAAAAGAAAGGAGAGATATTCAGAATTACGTAAATTTATGAGTTTAAAGTTCATTTGAAATATTTTCAAACATAAGGAGCATTTCTTTTTTTATGTACATATTTACAGTAATCTTCTTCCAAACTGGCAAAGAGAATGCTCCCAAATTATTTGTATCTTTCCAATAACTCCATCTTCTTTTGAATAAAATAATAACAGTAAAAATGCTACTACTACTACTACTACTACTACTACTACTCCCTCTAATACTTCCTCCTTTACTTCTACTACTCCATCTAATATTTCTTCTTCTTCTTTTACTCCTAATACTACTACTACTGCTAATAATAATGATTATAATAATAACAATAATAATAATAATATTACTACTACTACCATTAGTTCAACTAAAAATAATAATGATTATAATATTTTGTTTAAATCATTATTACTATTATCATTATATCATTATAACTATTATTACTTTTAATATTATCATTACTTTTATTATCAAAGTAATTATCATTTTGATATCTTTATTTTTTTCATAATTGGTATCATTATCATTATCATAACTTTTATTATAATTATCATTATTATCATTGTAGTTCTTGTTGTTATTATCATCATTATTATCATCATCACCATCAATTACACTATTAAAGGCATCGTTAAACAATGTTAAATCTGAGATGCATTGCCCTATGTGTTATCAGTGTCTTTGACATGGTGTAATATTGAAGCCCTAAACAAATTGCGCTTCAAAATGATCATAAAGTGCCTCAAAAAAGTGAAAATCTATGAGTGACCAGTTTTACCATACTCTTTTTCCCCAATAGACTGTAGTGTTATAGAAACTGTTAGGAAAATGGAAAATTTGATTTCAATTTCCAATCATAAATATCTTGATAATCAGACATGTAATCGGCTTGTAAAAGTCATGGGGTTCCTGACTGACCAAGGTTTATAATTATCAAGCAGCATGAGCTAAATCCAGGATTTTGTTTCAGAATCTGAGACGATTTTACTGAGTCACTTTTATGCTTACCAGGGCATACCCCTCTGTGTTCTGATGCATCACGAACGCTAGGAGTCACTGAACGTAACGGCCCAAAGTTCCCACGAGTTGGATACGACTCTACTTCTCTCGGCATATCCTGAAGAATCGGCGAGGTTTTGGTGCGGAGAGTTTGGTAAGGTTCCTCTGATACCGGTAATTGCTGTCGAAATAAAAAAATCAAGAAGATAAAACAGGTGAAATTCATGTCAATGCATATACAGGTTGTATAGGTATATATATATATATATATATATATATATATATATACACATGCATGTACATGTAGTCATGTACATGTACAATAACAACATTACAATGTATACAACATACAGGTTGTATAAATATAAGCATAGCTGTATAAAAATGAACAGTGCACAATAACACTTATATTTGCCGGCGTAAAGGCCGCAGTATTTTTGGAAGAGAAAATATCAAAAAGTAAGGGTGCGGCCTTTACAACGAAAGATTAAAAAAAAAAAAAAAAAAAAAGTCGAAACCAACACAAATTTGCACATATGGGACTTGAAACGGTAAAACAACAATACCACTATGGTACAGGACATTTCCAAACATCTTACCGACAATTTTATCTTGCATTGTTGACATGAAGACGAAAATAAACGTCCTAACACAACATTTGCCGATAGATCTTGATCTAAGTTCGTGCCAATGCATTGCAAAGGTAAAGGAAGGGACAGTCTAACGGAGCTGCCGCGAACATCCCTCCGAAGTCGCCATTTTGTTTTTACATTTCATGCAGTTTCACATTACTCGTACATTGTGGTAGGGGGACACCAAATCTGCCTGCGATCACTTTTTTAGCTAAACTTCCGGTAAATTATAAGAATATGGATGAATTTGATATCAGTTTGTAAAACAAAAATAGTGTTTTCGAGAAAATTATGATTATTTTGTTTTGTCCGTTTTTTTTTTCGTTTTTTTTTCCCTCTTTGAAATGTCAAAGTTGGAGTGCGGCCTATGCGGGGGTGCGGCCTATGCGGCGGTGCGGCCTTATCGCCGGGAAATACGGTAAATACATTTCTGGTTTCTCAGAAAAATGTTGTCAGTTTGACCATGGCTGTCGGGTCAAGCCAAAGCCCCCCAAACATTCCACAAAGCTGGGTCGATTTCACTCCATCTGGCCAATGAACCAAACTTTGTCAGTAGGAAGTTTTGACTACACAAAACTGTATTTTTCAATTATTAAAAATGTCCATCGGAAGGGGGTGTTACATGTACATGTACTGTACATTTCCTCTATGAATAAAAAAAACACTTAAAGGAATCCAACCTTTAATAACAGGAAACAACTCTAAAAGAAAGCAGACAAATCAAAGAAGCAGAACGGTGAAAGTTTGAACTAGCTTGGACAAAAATTAAGAAAGTTATGAAGATTTGAAAGTTGTAAATAATATGATGTACATACGGAAACTTCAAATTGGCTGAATCGGCATGTCACTGTGATGTAGTGCCGGACAACTTTCCAATTTGTTCCAAAACACATAACGACTAAAATGTACATGAATGACTCGGGAGGATATTTTCTTTTCAGAGGACCCATAAAGGTAGAAGGGACTTGGAAGAACAAAGGAAATAATGAGGTTTTTGTCTCCAACAAACGGGAGAGTTGTCTATTTAATACATGACAATCCACTTACAAGATTCACATAGCTATAGTGATCTCATATTTCAAACATTCATAACTCTCTGATCTTTAGTCTGTTCTATTTCAAACTTTCGCCATTCAGTTTTCTTATATTTTTCTGCTTTCATAGAAAAGAACTTATCACAACGGGGTGTTGTGGCGTGCACCTGTAATCCAGCTAAAAATGGAAGTTACAAACGGATTCAGCCGACGACGCAGAAACTGAGTCACGTCTTTCGGATGGTGACGTTAAAGGTCGGTCCTCAGACGTAAATAATCATATCTGATTGATACACGTCTGTAAAAACCCAATGCACATATAAAACATGGTAGAGAGCTGAACTTGGAATTCAACTGGCTATAAATACACCCCGAGTCTGAGCTGATAGACTACACTCCTAACATGTACCTCCCAGAATGCAAAGGGAAATATGAACAAAACAAAATCACTGTGTGTGGCAAGCTGGCAAAGGACTTTGGACCTTGTCTTGACAATAAAACAAATGTTGACAAATGATATTGCACACAGCTCTCCCTGCACAGTGTTCATCAGGCATGACATGTATGGTACATGTTTGTCTACAGTTCAAGGTAGGCCTGGTGTACAGTATGCAACCCACAATCTCAAATTACTACTGTTTATGGTTCATTAAAATACTGAACATGGCAGCCCGTAGGCTGAATTAAATTCAGTTTACAAGATAGAAACAATTCCACTTGCACTTCAGTGTTGTAACAATTATCATACAATGTGGGAACATAAGAAAATAAATAATAAACCAGTATACCAAGCCTACATGTATATATATGCATTGTGTAACTTCACATCAAGTGAATAACAAGAGTAAAATCAGGAGAAAAAAATCCATAGATTTGTTACTACACTGTCAAAAATTTTATATAAAAATGCATGCAGCCCAAGATAAAAGCAAGATCAGGTAACGATAGAAAGTAAATCAAAGATACTGCAAAGATAAACTGAACAAAGAAAACTACATGTACATATTGTCTTTAAAATTTGAAATTTGAAAAATCAGAATATTCTGATTTTCTAGTTCCTAAAAATCCAGAAAATCAAGAATATTCCTGATAAATCAGAAAGGTTGGCAGTTTGGCATTATTAAAGTATTCTTATTTACAGCTTAAAATCTAATTATTAAAGAGCAATTCATTTTGATGTATATCAGATAGTGTCCCATCTTAGGTATAAAGAGCAGGGGGCTGACATAATACAATACTTAAAATCAGTAACTTAAATCAATCTTCATAATCGATCTATTAGTTAAATCACTGACTACTCTATAATTCTTAGAGTTGTAAGTGTAAACTCTGGTCAAACCTATCTATTAAGGCCACCCAAAGAAACAAAAAAGTGGCCACTATGGGCAGATGGCCTTTCTAGACAAATCAAACCATTTTTCTTCCTAGAGGGAGACAATATCGGTAACCACTTTAGACCAACGGCCTTTATATAGAGGCAGCAACTATCGCAGGTTTAATATTTAAAAAATTACAAAATGCAGCAGCCCGTATTGTTACCCTTACCAGACGTACTTCTCACATTACTCCTGTTTTGTCTTCACTTCATTGGTTACCTGTTGAATCCCGTATTGTTGTATTTAAATTATTATTGCCTTTTTTTTTTTTTACTGTTTATAGGGATCTGCCCCAGAGTACAATATCAATTTTTTGATGCCTTATAATCCTCCCAGACGCTTAAGATCATTCGGTTCTAAATGGCTTGTTGTTCCGAAAAACTAAGAAATCATGAGGGAATATAGGTCATTTGCACACGCTGTACCTTACCTACATGTATGCCACAAGATATTCGTTTTATTTCAAGTGTAGATTGTTTTAAAAATGCCATCAAAACTCATTTGATCAAAGCGGCTTTCCAGTATATATACTTTCACATTGTTGTTTGTTCATTTTCTTTTTGTGTGTGAATTTTGTGCACTTTTCTTCTCCATTGCACCTCGAACACATTAGTCATGTGGAGTTGGCACATTACAAATTATTATTATTATTGTAAATAAAATCAACTTACCGAGCTTGTTGACTTTATTAAATTCTTCGGACTGTTCGACGGTCCCGGAATTCTGTCCACGGAGCCGCTACCCCAGCTTTGATTGCCTGAAGTTGATAAATTCTCTCCTATTATCGGTTCCGGATCTGATTTTCTCTTCTCTTGCAGCTGATATTCTCGTACATAGTACACTTTTCCGTCAAGGAATAATTTTCCATCATCAAGTGGTACAGGTATTTGCCTAATGGTTGTGGGACCGGACCTAGATTCAACCAGTTCTATACCTATAACATGAGACAATGAAAAAAAGGAAGACGTCTGACTGGAATTTGTTTGACTTTAGAGGCTACCCATGACATTAAACAGTGAGAAGTTACCTACATATATATATATATATATATATATATATTTTTTTTTTTTTTAAAGACTTTACTCGGTTTTGTGTTACAAGAATATGCTGAACCTAAATTGAGAAACAATAAATTCTGCAAGTAAGGCTATAATTGAGTTGTGTTGAGAAACCTTTGAGGACCATTATGGATCCTGACAAACACAATAACAATTTTGCTATCTTTTAGGCTACCTACATGTACATACAGTGTGAGTCAAAAAAAAGTTCCCACCTAGAAAATTGCTAATTATTTTAAAAATCATCTTTATTTTGTTCATTCCTATATTGTTACATACATGTCTGTTGTTAAGCATCTTTCTATTTTGTTAATTGTTCATTGTATATGTTAATTAAGCGCTTTGTATCTACTTGTAGAAAAGGCGCTATACAAATGTTCATTATTATTATTATTATTAACAGTAAATTATTATACATCTCATGAAAGAGTGTTTTATCCTGAATCATTTAGCATCATTTTTGTGTGGTATGTGTTCACGCTTGAATGAACAGGAGGCATTGTTTGCGAGAGTGCGAAAATCAATTTTACATGTAATTTGCTTTTGTGCAATAATAAAAAAGGGAAATTCTTTTTATTCATTTATATTTGTATTCTACATTCATTCAATTTTCCATTTATATCATGTTGTATTTTTATCAGATAGGGCCTTGAAGTATTTTGGTACATTACCAGCGAATCTCTTGTTTTGGTCATCCTGTGGTATTTGCTCACTGTTTGTGGAACTGGATCTGGGTTCAACCAGTTCTATACCTATAACATCAGACAATGAAAAAAAGGAAGAGGTAGAATTTACAAATATGAAAGGAATTTGTTTGACTTTAGAGGCTACGCATGACATCAAACAGTGAAAAAATACCACATAATCGGGGCAGCACCAGGAGCGTCACAACGTGACGGTCATGTGCGCTTTATAAAATATTAAATATTAAATATTAAACAAAAAGACTTTACTCCGTTTTCAAAGATGCCAACCTATTAACACAAAAAAACAGACAGAGTAGGCTATGCTAAAAAATCAGATTTTGGAGAGAAAAAAAAACTCTACACTACCACTGGCCTGTCGCCCCCGGGCCAATGAAAAAATGAATGAAATTTAAGAATTTTTTTTTACTGGTAAGTACGGTCAAGTAAAATGTTTGCTCTTTCATTAAAATTTAATGAGAAAATTGTAAAGCAAAGTTTTTGTTGGGGTTGCGTGGGTTTACTTGTACATGTTTCTATGCGGTTCCGCGGTTTTTAAGGGTTTTACATTTTTTAATAATTTTTTATAATTTATTTATTTTTAAAGATTAAAAATCATATTTTAAAAGGTGATATATTAGTATTATCGTATTTCACTCTTATTATCGTATTAAATACGATTTAATTGTACTGGTTGGCATCTCTACGTTTTGTGCTACAAGAATATGCTGAACCTGAATTATAAGAAATAATAATAAGGTACACTTTGGTTGTATGTTGAGAAACACTCGAGGACCATTATAAATTTGACAAACAAAATAACAATTTTTGTGTCAGACTATGCTCTCTTGTAGGCAACCCACAGTGTATACAGAAAGACTACCCAAAACTATATGTTTTTAAAATGTCCACCATAATACAAATTATTGATTCACTGTTTATGAACTAACATACACTATGAACATGACAGACGAAGAAAGCGGACAAAATATACAGTTCCTCAGGTAGACAAAGGAACATCCCTTCACTGCTATTATGTACATTGTAAAAAGGTGAATATGCATGTGACACATTTTTACATAATAGCAGTTAAGGGATGTTCCTTTGTCTACCTGAGGAACTGTACATTTTGTCCGCTTTCTTTGTCAGGACTTCATATTCATAGTGATATTGATTAGATCTAGTACCTACAGTACATGTAGATCACAAGTGCGTATATCATTTGGACCCCTTATTATGCAAGATGAAGTACATATACATGTTCGGTAGTATGAAAGCATGACCAATAAAGAGTGGTAAAAAAAAATAGTCTTGGAAACCAGACCCTGTTGCATCAAACTTGTTTTCGATAACAAGTAATAATAATAATATTTAGCTTTTATATAGCGCTTAATACAATGTCTCTAAGCACTTTACAAATATACAGATATTACAAGTCTCAGTAAATGTTAGAAGCTACTGAACCTGTAGCATTTGATTGGCCGAGAGCAAAGTTGTCACATATCTGTTGCGATTGTTGTTCACAACAAGTCTTAAAACAGAGCCCAGGATGAGAAGGCACGTTGGCTCATTCGGAAAGAGTGTACATGTACATGTACCTGCTGATGCACAGATCTGGGGGGTGTTTCACAAAGATCCTAAGTTAAACTTATCTCTTAAGTTGGACTTAACAATTATAGAAAGCTGTTTGCATCTATGAAAATATTTTGTAAAAGTTATTTTAAAAGGCATAACATGTTTCAAATCATTCATATTTTCTATTATCAAGGAGATTTCATGTTCTTGATGTGGAATTTATAAAAAATCCAAAATACTTGAATTTTTTCGCATTTGAATATATTTTATTTTAAGGCCACAAATAGCTTTCAATAAATGTTAAATCCAACGAAGAGATAAGTTCAACTTAGGATCTTTGTGAAACACCCCCCTGGAGTTAATTCTTGAATTCTATTAGCATACCTTGATTTTCATAGCCATCGCGGAGGTCCCGAAGAATATCCAATCGACCAATTTTAAACAAGCTCTCCTTGAGCAGCTCCACGTTACATCCACCTTCTCGATACTCCCATTGACGCAAGAGACATTTAGTGGATGATTGGTATATTTTTGACCCATCTGACTCCAATTTCTGCAATAAAAAGCACAGTACACAGGAGTAAAGTATGTATATTATTGGATCTGTATTCCACATGTATTTGCAAAACCTGAATAACTTTGCTTAAACTGGTTGGTTTAAGGTAATATGTGTCACGTTGTGTCGGTTGAGACAATGGGTTTGACGAAAATGAATCTTTATTGGTGTATCTAGTTGGTCTAAGCCCAATTTCAATTTCCAATTCCAACTTTTTTTCTACAAATCATGTATAAGTCTTGAGTACATGTACTATACATGTACACTGTACAATAAAATTACATGCATCAAAATCAAATACAAGGAAAGATAAACATACATGTAAGTTCATTTTTAAATGTTTGTTTTGTAAGGAACATAAGCAAATACAGAAAGGACAGTCAGAAATGCAACATGATTTATCATTTTCTTTCTTTTCAATCCCGTACAGTCTAGGACATAATATATTAAAGCATCTTCACTTTCGCATATATTTCTTCAATCAATTTTCATCTGGCAAGCAGCAGATTGAACTGTTTATTTTTATCAACCACTTTCATCTTGAGACTTCGTTTCGTTTGAGCTGTCGTGGGGCAGTGCTTTTTCTGTTAAATATTTCTTCAAAGAGCTGTATACCATCAGTACGTACATTGTACATGGTTAGTAGAGATATGCCTTAGGCATTCCCCTAATTAACTCATTTCTACATGGACATTGGTGACCCCGGCGTGATTCAAACACTCAACCTTCAGATAGAGAACACGTTTTTCTACCAAGTCACTAGGGACTTTTAGATTTGCACGTCGACATAGTGGATTGCTAAGTGTGATGTCCTTTTAAAAGGGGAATGAGGGGGGTGAGGGGGATGAGGGGGGTGAGGGGGATGAGGGATGAGGGGGGTTGGGGGGGTTGGGGTGAGGGGGGGGGTGAGGGGGGTGAGGGGGGTGAGGGGGTTGAGCGGGGCAAGGAGGACAGGGGGTGAGGGGGGCAGGGGGTACAGGGAGGATCCACCTCCTTTTACTCATAGAGTACCAAAATAACCCAGTCTTTTTTAGGATTAAGATAATTTAAAAATATTTTTTTTGTTGACACCCAGTAAACGCAATACTTACATCAACATCAGTAGAAGTGAAGTCTAACTGTCCAGCTAACTGCCTCCACGATATCAAACCACCGGCCAGACGACGATCAAGAAAGTCTAGAACTTTGACCTTCAGGTATCTGCCCTCACTCTCTCCCCTTGGTGCAGTCATGGTGGCTTATCCTATCAGAGACTAAATGAGCATCCCCTGTAGCAAAAAAAAAAATGAAATCATGCAGCCCTCATTTATTACCATGAAGTTTAAGAAAGTTCTAATTTTGAATACCGTAGACCTCAAAGCGAACGTCTGCGTGAAGTTATCTACCGTCAGATCCTCATTACGGTAAATAACTTCACGCAGTGCAGGCGTGCGCCCGCCTGCAATCCAACATCTGTATTATGCACTTGTACATGTAGTTGTATTGTGCAGCAGATTGCCGTACCGTGGAACCTGTGAGAAAGTGTAGGCCTATTGTAAAGGAGGGGGTAATCGATCAGCTCCAGTTTTCGGTCGATCCGTTGGATGCATGATAAAATCCCTTTAAAATACATCGCATAATAGCATAACACATATCCCACACATACCATACCATGCCAGAGTCACTGAAGAACCACATTTGCAAAGGAAAATATATCCTAAAATATCACATTTAAGCGATGTAATCGGCGGTCCCGCTACCCAAATCTGAAAAATTGAGTATCTTACGCGTGTCTGTAAGAAATATGGGTACCATAAAATGAGCTTTATTTCAAGTATTTTTCAGATTTAGAGCCCGATTTTGTGTTAGTCGCAAGCTCAGCCGAACACCGCGACGCACACACGATATGTCCGTCTAATTCAGATTCCAATTTCCGATTACCGCAGTGCTAGTTTTCGGCATGGGATACCTGCTCCGCCCGCTTGTGCTATAGATCAGCGCGGAAACGCACGGCGCGTGCGCGCTTCCTATTGACTTTGTACATGCGGTCGTAAACTGACTTGCTAGGTCAATAACCGGCTCCAAAACAGTGAAAATTGAAATGAATATTGTCATGGCAATTCGTGATTTTTTTCTGGGATTCTTTTTTTGTTTAAATAATAATAATATTTGCTTCATGATTTGAACAAGAAATGATAATAAATAGGAACTTAGGAAGTAAAGGGTCCAAAAATAGGAATTTGTCTAATTATTATCATTAATGTTTTTCTGAAAAATACTCCAAAAAATAACAAAATTGACACTAAATAGGTAAGAACTAAGAAACATAACAACTATTTAATCATGACCATTATTTGAACATTTGATGAATATTTACTTCATTTTTGGTATGTTTTAGTAGGGTATGTCCACACCGGCAGGCACGTAGCCACGGGAGGGGGGGGGGCACATGCCCCCCCAAAATTTCTAAGATTGGTTAAACTACCCAGGACGTCTACCCAGGACGTCGATCAATAACATGTACATGTATGTGCCCCCCCCCCCCCAAACGTCAAACTCTGGGTACGGCCCTGCACGCCGGAGTTACAGGTCAAAGTCTGGATATGATTCTGAACTAGCACCAAGCTTTAATTAATGCACACTCACAGCCAGGATTGTGTGGGTCTACGACTAGACGACTAGAGTAGATCTAGACCCAAACATACATGTAGGTGCATTACTATCCTGGCTGTGTATTAAAGGCTGTGTATTAAAAGCTGTGTTATTGATTCTCAACATTTCAAACACCACCACTCTGTTCAATATTCAACTGATTTCACTCAAAATCGGTAGTTTCTTTAATAATTAGGCCTAGTGACGATTGATGACACCTAAATAGTCTAGCAGGAAAATACAATTTTTTCAACTTTCCGATGTTAGAAAGAATAATTTAAAACTTCAAATTGTGAGTCCACTGTCAAACTTGCCAATCAGCCGCATCGGCATGATTGTGTTCATCTGTGTGTTATGAGTGTATTGACTATTCATGTATTTAAATGCTGCCTAACAAAGTTAGACTATTAGGGTAATATAATAGTCTACAAAGTTTTGGGAAATTTTGAAAATTGGGTGGACAGTGATTCTTTACAATTTTGATATATTTGGATGCCCCTGTTGATGTACTATTATAAGCACTAGAAAATTTAGCCCCTAAAACACTTCTGTTTTCGAGAAAATTGATTAGAGTAAAGGAGCCCGTTTTCGGCCACTTAAGACAAAATCCTATTTTTAGGACTCTTTACTTCCTATTTATTATCATTTCTTGTTCAAATCATGAAGCAAATATTATTATTATTATTTAAACAAAAAAAGAATCCCAGAAAAAAATCACGAATTGCCATGACAATATTCATTTCAATTTTCACTGTTTTGGAGCCAGTTATCGGCCGAGCGTTTCAGTTTACGGCCGCATGTACAAAGTCAATAGGAAGCGCTCGCGCGCGCCGTGCGTTTCCGCGCTGATGTACAGCACAAGCGGGCGGAGCAGGTATCCCACGCCGGAGCTCCCTGGTGCTCGCCTGGCCGAAGACAGGCACAGCGGTGATCGGAAGTTGGAATCTGAATTAGACAGAGATATCGTGTGTGCGTCGCGGTGTGCGGCTGCATTGATTTAATACATGCGATGAGATACTTTTGAGCTTGCGACTAGCACAAAATCGGGCTCTAAATCTGAAAAATACTTGAAATAAAGCTCATTTTATGTTACCCATATTTCTCGATTTTTCAGATTTGGGTAGCGGGACTGGCGATTACATCGCTAAAATGTGATATTTTAGGATATATTTTCCATTGCAAATGTGGTTCTTCAGTGACACTGGCATGGTATGGTATGTGTGGGATATGTGTTATGCTATTATGCGATGTATTTTAGAGTGATTTTACCTTGCATCCAACCAATCGGCCGAAAACTGGAGCTGGCCGAACAAAAAATGATAATAAATAGGAAGTAAAGGGTCCTAAAAATAGGATTTTGTCTTAAGTGGCCGAAAACGGGCTCCTTTACTCTATGTAGACCCTAGTTGTGATATATAATTTCCAAAAGGGAATAGCTAATCGGTCGATTTTAGTCAATAAACATTGTTTTATAGCTAAATTAATGTCTTGACCTTGAGAGGGAGTTATAGCCTAGACCTAGATCTAGATCTAGACCTAGATCTAGATATAGGTCTACAACATAACTTATTTACAATTTCATCACATTATTTAGACTCGTTTTCAACCGTGACAACGATCACTGGATATTGTAGGATCGCATATGTTTCCAATATGTTCATTTGAACCAAATTCATGACCCCATACCAAAACTTTGTGTTACCTAGGCCCTAACAGTTAGTCATGCTAGTGCAGTTTAGAGGTCAATACGCATTGGCGTTGACTCTAGCCTATGCTTTTGCTGGAGTGAGTAGACCCTAACTTATAGTTATAGTTTTAGTACTTACGTTATCATACGCTGTAATAATATGGGAAAGTGAATTCCCCCAGAACGTCACATTGTCAACATGCAAGAATCATGTAGAATTAAAACAGTCAAATCAATTGAATTCAGTAAATCCATCCGATTATCAACACCGAGCGGCATGTATTATCTGCACTGCCATTCCTACATGCGATTGGCATATTGACGTCAGTACAACAACTCTTGATTGTTTTTACTAACTTCCGGGCTTGTTATTTCGTACCGTAGACAGCGCTATTGCATAAAGAAAAATGGCGTGTTAAGAGACAGCGCTGAATGAATGAAAAATAAAGACAAATATTTAAATATAAATAAATGAAAACACCAAAACAAAACGGGCGCTAGTGTGACGTACCAAAATCTTTTCTCTTTCACTATCTTTGACCCTAAGAAAGAAAGGAAACAGAAAGGCAACGCTAAAGCTATAGCCAACGGGGCCTAGCGCACTCGATCTCCCTGGCCTATACTCTATAGGCGCCCCAGCTCTATACGGCTACGAAATATTTGAAGTAGCCCTACAATGAGCAGCTCGATAGGCCCTACTGTGAAGAATATCAGTTTAATTATTTTTTTCCTCGGTCGCCGTAATCCTTGATCCCATACCGTAGTGCTCCCCGACCACAAATCTATTATTTGTGTCCTGGCCTCGGTACCCCCCCCCCCCCCCCCCCCCGTACTTGGGTTTCCCTGTGCCCTCACAGATCAACCCTCTTCAACTGCAAATCAAACCAAAAACCTGCATAGAGGGTTTTTTTTCTTCTTCTTCAGGGGCCGGGGGAGGGTGGCCGGGGTTTTTCTCTTCTTTTCTTTTCTTTTAAAGGTAAAATTAGCTACATTGTAAAGATCTATTTGTAGGTCAGTTTATCTATGCGGGAAATGGGATGGGGAGTGGGGAGGGGTCTATAATGAATATGAGGGCTTACTTACGATGATTTCCCGAATTCCAATGTGAGATTTTGACACTTGACAGATCTTGACATACAAATAAGAAGCCAAAATATGCAGAGGGATGGAGAAAGAACTAAAGATGACTCTGGTGTGTGGAACTGAGAGGGATAGAGAGACAGACAGACAGAGGAGGGAGGGAGAGTGAGATAGAAAGAGAGAGAGAGAGAGAGAGAGAGAGAGGGGGTGAGATAACGATGCATTACGCGCGCAGTAGGCCTGCACTTTGTTGTAGCCAATGCATGCATACATGCCATATAGCTAATATTTACAGCGTTCTTTGATTGGTTAAAAGTTTATAAACTTTTAGCTAATCAGAGAACTACGCTCTCCTCCGGTAAGAGTGTATTGGGATCACTCATCACTGTGTGTGGTGTAAGAGTTCAGCGATGAGTTGGATCTACGCTGCCTGCAGGCCTGCAGTCCCGCAGTAACTAAATGTGTACAACCATGGACCATGGTACAACTACCTGCCTGCCTGGTACATTTATTCCTCGAACATATTAGGCTTACCCAATATGTACCGTGTGCTGTATAGTAACCAGGGTAACTGTCGATGGAGCTTATAAAACCACAGTGAGGCTTGCTTCTCTGGTATCGTACTATTTTAGTGAATTGTGTGATATTGGTGTGCGACATGCTGGCCGTTTCATCGAGTATACGATGATCAATGAAAATTCATTTTAGATCTTTTCTGGCAATATTTAGAATGGCTAAATAGGGCCAATCCGCGAAAAACAGACTCGAGCCCATTTTCGGCAAGTCGGAGAGCCTTAAATAGGGGGAGGAGGGGTGGCTACAACCAGGCGCGGATCCGGGGGGGGGAGCGGGCCTTGCCCCCCCCCCCCCCCCCGCGCAAAAAAAAAGGAGAGAAGAAAGGAAAAGAATGGAAAGGGAAAGAGGAGAGAAGGGAAAGAAAGAAGAGGAAGAAGAAAAGAAAAGGGGGAAGAAGGAGATCGGGGGGCCGAAAGGGCCTTGCCTCGAAGGCTGTTGCCCCCCCCCTCCCATCAACAAAATTAGAGAGAAGGAAGGAAAGGGAAAGAAAAAAGGAAAAGAGGAGATACTGGCGTAATGATAAGGGGGGAGGGGGGCTTGGAGGAAATCAAGTTCAAACGTGGTGTATTTCTAATTCCATAACGGTGGATTACAAATAGTGTTGAAATGACATAATTTCCGAGATTTTTCCTCACCTTTTAGTAAATTACACATTTTTATGTGTTTGTTGGAAAATGACAAATTCCTAAATTTACAGCCAGGCAAGAAATATGATTCATGAGATTTCTACATTTCTACATGAAACATACCTACTTTCATTTGAATGATTATTTAAGGACAGAAACTTTGTTGGTATGGTGCTCCTTGATCTGCAAAAAGCTTTTGATACAATTAATCATTGCGTGTTATTGAAGAAGTTACAACTAATGGGTTTTAATGTGGCAAGTTTAGAGTGGTTCAGATCCTACTTGCCTAATCGACACCAAAAAGTGGCCATTCATAATATTCGTTCTAAACTAATGCCTATTACATGCGGTGTTCCACAGGGAAGCATTTTAGGCCCTATTCTATTTTAAAGATATATCAATAATATTGTGACGGAATGTTACAGTGTTTAACCTGAAGAGGGCGACATTTTGGTCAGATTGATATAAGTGATTTGATAACGCTGCGAACGGGCAGTCCGTGTTTTGTATTGATGCAGTAAGGAATGCAGTAAAGTAAGCTGAAAGATCAAACATCATTGTAAGTTGTCGTTATTTGTCTCGGATATTACTTTGATTGAAGTGATTGATGAATGCATGATTGAGATCCTCGTTGAATAGTTGTGAGTTGTGAGAGTCGACTGTCTGGGAGAGTTGACTGATTTATAAGACGAGACCTGGTTCGTGTCGTTCGGAATTGCTACCAAGTTCATGGAACCAGATCTCGTCACACTGGTGGCAGCGGCGGGACAACTAAAACAGCGTGGGTCATGCTTCCAGCGTGAAACTACATACTTTAAGACACGGACTCAAAACACGCCACCTTTTTAGGTGCTAACGTGAGCTGCGAACTATCGAGAAGTGCAGCCAGGTGAGGTGCCAAGTTGAGGTGCCAAGTTGAGGTGCAAGTTGAGGTGCCAAGTTGAGGTGCCAGGTGAGGTCCCAAGTTGAGGTGCCAAGTTGAGGTGCAAGGTGAGGTGCCAAGTTGAGGTGCCAAGTTGAGGTGCCAAGTTGAGGTGCCAAGTTGAGGTGCCAGGTGAGGTGCCAAGTTGAGGTGCCAGGTGAGGTGCCAAGTTGAGGTGCCAAGTTGAGGTGTCAGTTGAGGTGCCAATTGAGGTTCTACTTGAGGTGGAAGTTCTTTGTGCTACAGCTCTTAATAAATTCACCATGGATAAAAAGGAGCATCAAAGGTCCTCAGTTAATGAATGTGACCTAACTCAATTGAACACAGAGCTGGAACGTCTACGAATGGAGAATCAAATTTTACAGTTGGAACGTGACAATGCACGGTCAAAAATTAATCTGATAAAAGCAAGACAACAGGGATTGTCTTCACAAAGTACCGTCAAGCTTGGACAGTTCGAAGAACCATCTGTGAGAAGGAGAGTAGATACGGACATAGTTTTCAATGGACCGTACACTGAGAGAAACAAGGGTGAAAACACGCCCGAATGTGGAGAGAAGAAGGGCTTGTATCCTGAGCTATTGACCCCAGACCGGAAGGTTGGAACCGATTGTTCGACTCCTGTGCCGGATACCATGTTTTCTCAAGAGTTGGCTGGGGACATTGGGTCCCCTTTCCTTGAAGGATTCGATCCCAATTTTCCATGGGAAAAGGCCAGTGGAAGAACGAAATCGGCTCTTACGAAGAAGCCTGACAACAAGCAGGGTGATGTGGAAATAAAAGAAGAAGTTTCTAGAGATTGTTCAATAGGAACAAAACAGAGCCAAAGGCCTTGCATAACACCTGATCGGTTCAATGGACAAACATCGTGGCATCAGTACTTGAAGCACTTTGAAGCATGCAAAGATATAAATGGTTGGACAGAGGAGCAGGCAAGTGCTTTTCTGACTGTAAGCCTTCAAGGTGAAGCACTCCGTCTGTTGGACCATCAGCACGATCGCAAACTTACGTATAGGGGACTGACCAAGCTCCTAGAGCAGCGATTTGGCCCAAGTCAACAGGCAGAAAATTTTCTGTTTGAATTGCGTCATCGCCGTCAAGGCCAAACAGAAACACTGAAGGAACTTGGCCAAGTCATATGTGAATTGGCAATCAAAGCCTACCCAGACATTCCAGAGGTTGGGAGAAAAAGGCTCGAGAAGAACCATTTTATTGAGGCAATAGAAGACCGGACTATCCGAGAAGGAGTGCACAGAGCTAGGCCAAAGGACATTGACGAAGCTATTCGTGCGGCCATAGAGACAGAGAACTATGAAAGAATCGAAGAAGAACGAAGATCGGAGAGACGTCCGCACAAATTGGTGAGGGGTTCAGAAAAGGAATCTGAGCAACTCATCCAGAAATTGGAGCATTTGTGTGAAAGGCAGGCAACACAATTCGAGACAATGACAAGGCTCATGAATGAAAGATTTCTTTCTTCTGAGAGAGTTCCCAAACCACCAACTCCTGGAAATTCCGGCAAGAAATGGCGGAGAAAAGAAGATTTGATATGCTTCAACTGCAACGAAAATGGACATTTCGCAAGGGAATGTCCTCTTCCTGAAAAGGAGAGGTCGGGAAACGACGAACAGCTGACCGGAAGGTCCACGGGAAGGCTGTAAGAAGTAACGGACCTAGTCGACTTGATGATGGAAGGATTGTAACACTTACACCTAACGAAGAACCCAAGCAAGGCTTATTTGTAGAGGGTACCATCAGGTCTATAAAATGTAGATTCCTCATCGATACAGGTTCAACTGACACAATTGTTAGAACTGACATGTACTACAGTATTGCGAAAGAGCAGAGACCGGTTCTTGAACAAGACAACGTCAGGGTTCAGCAGGTAGATGGAACGCCACTTGATGTGCTAGGAGTTGCCTGGACAGAAGTCAAAGTTGGAAAGACAATCTTTCCATTAAAGGTCATCTTTGCTAATATTAGGAACCAGGTAATACTTGGAATGGACTTTTTGATTCCAACCGCTGGGGTTCTAGACTTCTTCCGGCTGGAACTCATCTTGAACGGGGAACACATTCGATGCCTTAACCAGATAGGGAGATCATTCCTAAGAAGGATTTTAGTGAAAGAAACTATT